AAATTTTATCAAATATTATTATTAACTTGTTAGTTTTTTTTTTTTTTGATATTCGATTGTTGAGACTAATCAGCTTTATTATAAATGTTAGAATAATATTCATTTATTTTTACAAAAGAAAACAGTATGATTACGAGAGTGAACTAGAATAGATGTTAGAAGGGAGATTCATTTTTTTTGGCGGAGGAAACTGAACTAAACCTAGTCAAAAACGATTTGATTATACTTTATTTACACTATTATTTACATCATTATATGAAAGATGATTGATTGAATAGTTTCGAAAAAGGAAATAAATTTAAACTTAACCTTCTTCTCTATTATAAGATATTTCTTATCATCAAAATACTAATTTCATGCTTATAACCAATCAATAGATGTTTTTTACGATTTTATTACTTGTGTACTAACAATTAATGAAGATATTTCATAGAAATCAATAGAAAAGAATCATATATGTACATAAGATCTAAAGCAATAGTTTCATTCTTAATCATTATCATTATAATCTCTAGATTATTTCATGTATTGGATAATCCTACACAAATGAGTACTTTTTTCTGTTGTTATATTTGTTTAATACTAACTTGTCCTTGTTCAAAGTATATCATTCTTATCATTACATTCAGAATGGACAACGTTTGGTGTTCAGTATTCATCTGTTTATCACACTACAGACAGTTTTATAAGAGATTAATTTACTAATAAAAATATTACTCTATATATTTTTTTAATATTCTTCATCACATTGCAATATACAACCATAATTATGACTACAACTAGTTAAAAAAAAACAAACTCCTATAGTAAAGTTATTGTATTATTATTGAAAACAAAAATGCTTTTTCTATCTTTTGGTCAAAAATATCTGATCATATGGAATACATTTCATCTATCTCGGATTGTATTATGAATAAATTCGTTTGTATGAAAAATTTCATCATCAATAAATGTTCAATCCTCTGTGAATTATTTTATTGATTAATGATTATGCATAAATCGGTGATCCTTGTCGTTTTGATATTTGGTGAACACCACCTTGAGCTTGTCCGCGATTTGTAGTCGTTGTATTTACATAAGATATTGATGATCCTTGATTGTCAGCATTTATTTGTCTAGTAAACCATGGATGTCTTTGTACGAGTTCAATAGGCCATCGTTGTGTTACTTCAGGTTGAAGCATACGTATAATAAGATCTTGTACTTCAGATGAACCTTCACTACCTAAACGAAGACCACCTTTTGTCATTTGTGCTTCGATCATTTTTTTAATATCAGAATCATCGAAAGGCATTTTTGAATAAATCTACGAAAAAAAAAACCCGGTTTATAATTAATGAAAGAGAAAAAAGTAATGGTATGGAAAAGATGTTATACCATAATGTACAGAATGCATCCTGCTGACCAAATATCATAAAGTTTTGGATTACTAGATGTGATAAAAGGATGTAGAATAAAAAAAAACCGAAGATATTATTTTATATAATTTGAGAACATACTATTCTTGACCACGAAGAATTTCTGGTGCAGCATATGCAGCCGAACCACAAAATGTTCGACTTAAAATCTTTTTTTCAAATATATTCTTTTTATTATCAGTTGGCGAAGGATCGACTAATTAAAATGAAGTTTTATTATGAAAATAAAAATAAAACGAGAAAAGTAATTTCTCAATTTTATAACAAACCACAATAACGAGAAAATCCAAAATCGGCTAATTCTATTACAAGAATAGAAATAAATATTCATTAAATATTAATATTAAACTTACTAATTCGTAAGTGATTATCAAGTAAAAGATTTTCACATCTGAAAATAATGCAGAAAACATATATATATATTTTTTTTATATCATTCAATATAATGTACTTCAAATCTCGATGACATATATTTCGAAAATCTTAAACAATTAAAACTACGATATTCAATAGAATAATACTGACGAAAATATCTTACGAATATAATAAATAGCATCACATAATTCACGAAACATACGTCGAGCAACTGATTCTTGTAGACGAGTTGTTTTCTACAAGCTAAACAACGTCTAAGATATCACCTTTCATATATGCTCAACAAAAAAAAAAAACAATGAATAACATGCTATGCAAAAGTCTTAGCAAAAATGTCAAACTCTGTTAGATTATATTGCTAACTTCTAAACCAATAAAATTTATCTTTTTGGTTGCAGAGAGTAATGACTTCTAAACAAATAGTTTCTATTTCTCAATTATTTTGACCTACATGATAGTGCTCGTCGAATCCAAAATTGTCGAACTCGAACCGAGTCAAATCGTACTTTGGTATTCTCAATGAAATCCTCTCATCATAATTGGATAGTCGCCCTGAAGATACGAGAGACTTTTTTTCGGTATTTAATATTCGGTGACTAGCACACCCTACACATTTCTCAGACTACTATAGAGCATCAAAAGTTTTATCGATATCAGTTTTGGTGAAATTTTTGTAAAATAGAATCATTTGCAAGAATGATTAGTTTAGAAGGACATCAGTTACAATCTCCAGAAACCATGCATGAATTGAATTCTTTGTGCATTGTATGTTAGACTGTAGAAACTTCGCAGAAAAAAACCAATTCAAACAATATTCATTTTTTTGTTGTTACAAAATAGTCAAGTAGTAAGAGCGAGCAAATTATATGTAATTTTTCCGCTACAAAAATTACCATTAAAAGTATTTTTCAATTTCACTTTTGATATAAAAATTTAATAGAAAATAGAAAATGATATTGCGTGATGATGGAATTACAAGAATATTTTTTTTAACAGGTGATTAGTTTTTGAGTTTTCTTTCTTGTCACATTCATTTTGGAAAAATATATCTAGTACAAAATTTGTAGGTCTGACATAAAAAGTTTGATTGATTGAAATATTGATAATATGATTCAACAGAATCTGACATTTTTTGCTAAGATTTTTGCATTTCATGTTATTTAGTGTTGATTATTTTATGTATGAAACAAATTTGAACAAAATCTTAGCTAGAAGTTTTTGATTTTTTTGCTTACATTTATATAATCAAGAAGATCTCCATTCGATGCATATTCCATAATGATTAATGTAAGAGATTTTGTTTCAAGGATATGTTGTACCTTTAAATAGAAATGATTATATGATATTATTTTATTCTTAAAAATTAACTTTGATAATATTTGGATGATCTAATGTTCTAATAATATCAAGTTCACGTGGTAAAAATTTACTAACAAAATCAGCAGGAGCTTTATCACGATCGATTATTTTTACTGCAAATTCTTTATTATCAATTTCACGTATGCATCTTCTATATTCAACAATAAATAAACAAGATTAAATTCAATAGAAGAGAACAAAGTTTCTTATCTAATTTTTGAAATCTTACTTGACTTTTGCATAAGAACCAGTACCAATTAATTTTTCATTTATACGAAATCCTAATTGAAGAAGTGGTTGTTGAGCATCGATATTTATTGAATAATTTTTTGCACCATTCGATGAATAAAGTTTTGATTTTGTTGGTAATTGTTGTCCTTGATTTGTAAGTTTAGGATTTTTTAACCCTTTAGGATCGTGTTTTGCATTAGTTAATGAAAGAGAATTGTTCATAATATTGATTGTAAATTTGTCGACGCCACTTCGAAAGTAATATTCAATGAATAAATATCATAGTCTAAGAAATCATAGGAAAATAATAATAATAATAATTATTATTTTTATTTTCTTGTTTTTTTTTTGTTTAATATAAACACAATAATGAGAAATTAATAAAGTATTTTGTAGAACGAAGGTAAAAGAAAAATGATTTGAAAGCGATAAGTTTGTTTGTAATTGTATGTATGTATATAAATGACGTAGACACACACACAGAAGAATATGAAGTTTAAATTAAAGGAAGTGATGAAGTTCTATGAAGGATTCGAAATTCGCAAATTATCGAACCGAAAAGCATGCGCAAACATATCAGCACATACTTCTCGCTTGCGTACAAATATTAAAGTTGACATGGAAACAATATTTATGCAGCTTTTTTCTTTTTTTCTTTTTATTCATTCAATTAAAATTAAAGCTAATAAATTAACAAGAATATTTTATATTTTTTCGTTTCAATTGTACAATGTATGAATACTAGAAGTCTTCAAAAAGAAATTCTGTCAAAAGGATTTCCGAGAACTTAATTCAGAACGATTCATTTGGATTCTTTTTTAATTTTGAAAATGTATTTTATTATTATGATTTAAAATTAAAAACTTAATTCAAATAAAATTTTTCATTGAATAGATAATATAAAAATGACAACAAATTGATTTGAAATAATTATATCAATTGGATAATTAAATTGAACTGCTATTATCGAAAGATCGTCATAAGATAATTTAGTATTTTTTATTAGAAATCATATTCCATTCAATTTCAAACTTAATCAAATCGATTGAAATATAATAAACAAGAACATTTAAAAGAAGCCAAATCTATATTGGCATAATGTTTTGACGATCTAGTAAGTTGAATCGAAATGAACAGGAAACAAAACTTCAACATAGCTATAAAATATTGAAACATTAATAAATTTCATATTTTTACAGCTCATAAACTTATTTGTATACACACATTGTCATTTACGATTATCCAAAGACTATCTAATTAATATATCAACAAACAACATAATGTCCATACAATGATAAACTTATATCTCGGCTAGTTTTTCTAACTTGTATGTATGTCAATAAATGGCTTTGAAATCTAGAAAATGCTTAAAATGTTCTATGCCGATCAGGATCTCTAATGGACTGGGTTCATTTGATTTTTATCAATTTTATTTTTTAATTAAAAGTCGATTAAAATAGCACTGTTTAATTAGTTTTAATCGTATTGACTGTCATTAAACACGTTTTTCTATTGTTTTAAGCTCATAACTCAAATTTTTGATTCTTTTTTTTCGCACCCATTGACTTAACAAATAGTAAGTATAACACTCGACCAATCTTTAACATGTAAGTTACACTTCAAAATACGTATTTTAACTTAAACTTATTCAAATAAAATAGAATGTCAATATAAATTAAATAAGAATTGATTATATTTATGCTTTGGACAAATGTAATATATTCTTCAAATTTATAGTCATATTTCATTAAATTTCGATCAATTTTAATTGATTAACAAAGTTTAATCAATTAGAATTCATCATTTTTATAAATTCATTTCAATAGGTTAAAATCAATTAAATTTTCTAATAATTGATTAAAAATGAATTCAAATTCAATAACTGTATAAATTCGATGAAAGTTACTTTTTTTTTACATAGGTTACAAGCTTTGACTCATAGATTGATGATAATCTCACAACAGAATCTTGAATAAAATCCTAAATTCTCTAGATGCATCGCGTAGTATCAATGTACAATTTCTTTCTTTGAAAAATCTCATTTGCTCTTTTCGTTGATGCAAAACATTTATGTAATGAAGAATGAATAAATATACAAAAGAGGACAAAGAAAAAAGATAAAATTTGAGTGATAGTAATCTATCAGCCAAATCAAATGTTGACATGACAATACGAGATCGACAAATTCAATTGACTTAATCATGTCACTAGTTTAATTCATCTACGAAAGCTTATTGGTCTTATATTGACATGTAGTTATTCTGTCGACAAATTGTTAATACGAATATATTTGTCTATTTACATTGAAAAATTTTGTTCTTATTCAATGAAATGTCTTTGTTTTATTTTTCTATTACGCAAACAAAGTGTATTTACGTAATGAAAGAATCTTAATCATGATAAATAAACTTGACTAGAATAGCAAGCCGAATTATTTTTGAGAAAAATTTTTCCTACATAGACAGTCTATGAGCTAAATCATTTTTGTAAGGAAAAATCAATGAGTAGGCTAGATCAAAGTTTGATAACTCATGAATCAACTTTGACAGGCACAGCTGGGTCTGTTCGAAGTCATAATATCGACGTCACATATGAATCATACGAATATATTCATTTCTATTGAATTCTTTTCTTTAATATCGTTTTGACTACGAATAACTATGACGATATGTTAATTCATCTTTGCTTTTATTTCTTTGTCTATTGACTTTCAATCTTTGCTTCTGCGTCTTTTGATAGAAAGAGAAATTTTTCTTTTTTTCTCTACATTCGAAATCAATGGCAACAGTGATATTATAAAAGCAGAACAGTAAGATTATTTTTTTTCATTCGATACTTACCATTACATTTTATAGATAAAAACTATACGTACAAAGAAATTTTTGTTTTTTGTTTTTTTACTAACATCGATCAATCGATTTAAGTAATACAATTTAAAACAATATGTCTCACGGAATTCTTCAAGTTACTGTTATCGAAGGTCGAAATCTCAAAGACAAAGATACATTTGGTCAAAATGATGCTTATATTGAATTATATTTAGATAAAGATTATAAACAGCGAACATCAACTATTAAAGATACAAATTCACCAAAATGGAATGAAACATTTAATTTGTAAGTAAATATTTTTTTTTTGTCTCTTTCAATTTATAAAATTATAATTCATTTATTTTTTCAATTGAATAGTAATTTGTTAAAAGGACAAGATCATTTACATATTAAAGTATATGATGAAGATGTAGTTGGTAAAGATTCAATTGGTTCAGCTAAGATTAATTTGAAAAAAATTCAACAAGCTGGTGGATATTTAGATGAATGGGTTAAATTACCTGCTCATCTTGGTCTTGGTTCAAATGGTGAAGTTCATCTTATTTTACGACTTACTTAAACAGAAAGAAAAACTCAATTGTTTTTTTCAAAAAAAAGAAACAATTTATGGGATATAATGTATCGATAATTTCTTTTTTTTTTGTTTCTATTTCATTTATGCATGGGAATGTTTCGTTTATCTTTTATTGCTTATAAATAATATATAAAACTAATTAATTATAGTAAACTTTTGTATTTATCGTATTGACCAAGAAACTGATATTAAACGCTATATTTTTGGTCGAGGGATCAATGACCTTGACAAAAAATAATCTATAAACACACGTGTATGGAAAGAGAGGGTAAATGCAAAAGAACAGGAAAGATACGCAACGCGTTTGATAAGCGACGAAGGAAAGAAAGGGAGGGTAATGGTAGGGTATTATTTTTTCTTTTCTATCGAGCTGCTATATAAAGTAAAGACAAACGCAATTACAAGGCCTGCAAAATAAAAGCTAATTTGCTAAGCAAAGCACGAAAATTCATCAAATATGTTTTCGAAACTTTTATGTAGACAAGTAGTTAATCATGGATTTCGTTTAACTACACGAGCTGCATCAGCATCTACACAAAAAAAACCTGTAGTCGAACGCAAACCAGATGTGAAATATCAGAAAGTTTGTTTATATTGAAAAATAAATAAATATTGGAAAAAGTTTTTGTATCTGTTTTTGTATTTTCTTTTTTGTCTAGCTTTTCATAAATAATGAATTTGTTGATTCATCGAATAGAAGTACATTTGAAGTTATCAATCCAGCTACTGGTGATGTTATTGCTGAAGTTGCAGATGGTTCAGAAGTATAAATTTCTTTGTTTTTGTGAACTTTATTAAATTCAATTTTATTTATTATTATTATTTGAATAGAAAGATGTTGATAAAGCAGTCAAAGCTGCTAAAGATGCTTTTCGACTTGGATCAGAATGGCGTCGTATGGTCAGTGTAACATTTGTTTGTTTTTTATTGTATTATCAATAAAGAATAAGTGTTTATTTAGGATCCTGCAGCTCGTGGCGCTCTTCTTTACAAACTTGCTGATCTTATTGAACGTGATCGAGCTTATATTGCTGCTTTAGAAACATATAATAATGGTAAACCATTCAAAGATTCATATAATGTTGATATACCACATAGTATTGCTGTTCTTCGGTATGAATTTAATATTACCTTTTTTTTTCTAATTTTTTATTCATATAGATATTATGCTGGATGGCCAGATAAAATGAATGGAAAAGTTTTACCAATTAGTGGTGATTTTTTTGCATATACACGACGTGAACCTATTGGTATTGTTGGTCAAATTATTCCAGTAGATAAATTTTTTTTTTCTTTTTTTGTAAATTAATATTATTTTATTTTATTTTATTTTTATAGTGGAATTTTCCATTGATTTTACTCTGTTGGAAAATTGGTCCATCTGTAGCAACTGGTTGTACAACAGTTATTAAACTTGATGAACATACACCTTTAACAGGACTTTATACAGCAAAATTAATTGCAGAAGCTGGTTTTCCTCCTGTTAGTATTTTCATTTTTATTTTTTGAAAATAAATAATTCATTTTTTTTTTGTCCACAGGGTGTTATCAATATTCTTTCTGGAGATGGACCACATTGTGGAGGTTCAATTGTACGACATCCAGATGTTGCTAAAGTAGCATTTACTGGTTCAACACAAGTTGGTAAAATCATTGGAGCTGAAGCAGCTAAAATGGTTAAACGTACAACACTTGAACTTGGTGGAAAATCACCGAATATCGTTTTTGCTGATTGTGATCGTATGTCGAAATACAATTTTTATTGAATATATATATATGTAATACTACGTAAATTAACTTTATTTATAGTTGATACAGCAGTTGAAATGTCACATTTTGCTTTATTCTTTAATCAAGGTCAATGTTGTTGTGGTATGTTCTAATTATTTATTTTATTGTTTTAATGTTTTATATAGAGAAAAATAAATAATTTTTATTTTTAGCTGGATCACGTACATATGTTGAAGAAAAAATTTATGATGAATTTGTTCAACGTAGTGTTGAACGTACAAAACAACGAAAAGTTGGAGATCCATTTGATGAAAGTACTGAACAAGGACCTCAAGTAATTAAAAAAGATTTTTATATTTGCTGCATTATATTTCTTTGTTTTTGTTTTTTTTTTTCTTCTTTATAGATTAGTCATGAACAAATGGATAAAATTTTGGATTTAATTGATTCAGGCAAGAGAGCTGGTGCTAAATTACTTGTAGGTGGTGAACGTGTTGGTGATAAAGGTTTTTTTGTTCAACCAACAGTTTTTTGTGATGTTAATGATGATCATCGAATTGCTCGTGAAGAAGTAATTAATGAAATTTGATTTGATTTGATTTGATTTTTTTTTGTTTTTCTATTTTAAAGATTTTTGGTCCTGTAATGCAAATTTTAAAATTTAAAACCACTGATGAAGTTATTGAACGTGCTAACGATACTGATTATGGTTTAGCTGCAAGTGTTTTTACAAAAGATTTAGATAAAGCTATTGTTGTTAGTAATGGTCTTCGAGCTGGTTCAGTTTGGGTTAATACATATGATAATTTTGATCCAGTTGCACCATTTGGTGGATTTAAACAAAGTGGTCTTGGTCGAGAAAAGAGTGAATATTCATTAGATTCTTATACTGAAACTAAATGTGTATGTATTTCAAATCGAAAATATTTAAAAAAATTTTTTTTTTTTTAATCTTATTAATTATGTTTTTTTTTCTTATAGGTTACAATGAAGATTTCACAGAGAAATTCGTAATTACGCATTCAAGATTATAGTAAACAAATAAGAACATTGATAATCTTATTCAATGAGAAGGACTTTGATTTTTTTTCTCCTATTTATTTTTCATCATAGTATTTCTCATTAACCTTAATCAGTTATTAGTTTGTATTCATCTTGGAAAATAAAATGACTTCATGTTATGGTTTCAAACAATAAATAATAACTATAAATATTTGTTTTTTATTAATAGAGTCAATAATAATAAGCATACTAAGTAAAACTAGAATCTCTGTTTATTATTAATATTTACTTTTGAACATATGCTATTGTGAATTTATTATCTCAAGTTAGTCTATAGTAATGATTCCAATAAAAAAAAAACCAATTGCATTTCATACAAAATAGAACGCCTTTTTTTTGTCATTGAAATCTAACTATAAGAAAAATAACGTGAGTAATATTCCTAAAATTATATAATATGATATCTCGTAGAAATACTTGATTTGAAACACATGTTTTGTTGTTTTTTATTTTGCTTTATCATTAAAAAAATATGTTTTCCGGATTTTATATAATGAACTAGAACACAATTGGAATTGTTCATTATTAAATCATTAACTGTCTGTATATCTATTTACTTGATTAAATAACTTATGTAATTCGAAATGTAAAAATAACCTTTAACTTTTGCCGATATATTTGTTTGTATTTCTCTTGCGCAATTTTTATTATTATTATTATACTTGTCTATAGACGAGCTTTGTATATTGATATAACTGAATTCTTTTTATGGATAAAAAATTGTACAGAAAATGTAGACATCTTGGATTTGATTGCTAAACCTTTACCTGAATTGTATTGATACGAAAAAGTATAGATCAAACAAAATTAAATTTTGACTAATGCTAAAATTGCATATTTAATTAGAGAATTTTATTTATTTATTTAAGGTTAATCAGAATTAAGTAAAATCTTTGTATAGAAGAGCATTGTGAGACATATAATGATGTCAAACGATGGCAATAATACAAAAGACAAAATGCTTTGAGTAAACATCAACACATATGCCCTTAATCAGGATTAAGAATGCAATTGAATATGTCGAATTGTTTTATCTTATAGTAGAATTTTCGATCAAAGTAAACGAGACATGTAAACAATAAAAGAAAAAAAAGAAAGAAAGATAAATTTGATTAGTTGAACCTCATATAAAATTCGAGAAATTACTATAGGAAAACATCAACATTGGTTCTCATGACTAAAACAAAAACACGTTTTCCTTTTCACTAAAATTTCAAATATATAATAATGAAATATATTGATTTGTTACATTCACAATTGGTATTTAATTGAAACATTTACAAAAATTTTTATAATGTGATAACTATTTTATCTCATTTTGTACATTGAATATTTGACATCTAGGACAATTGTTGATTACGATTCAACAATCACACTAACCCTTCAAATTAATTTATAATCATATCAAATCATTTGATCATAGTTCAAATCTTATCAATAACCTTATTGTTTGAACACGTACTTATCTTATTCAAGGTTTTACTATATTTTTAAAAAAATTTTCTATTAATACTTAACGATTTATATATTATAAAATCTAATTAAAAAACATTTTTCCACTTATTACACAAAACAAATCAATCGATCCATTGATTTTTTTTTTACTTTATTATGTAATCATCAATCATAACATACAAAATCAATTCATGAACAAGAAGATTTCATTCGAAAAAAAACAAATTGTTATTTAAAAAACAATAGAAAAAATAGGAAAATAATATTTATTAAGTAATCACGCAATGAATGTCGCCAGAAAAAAAAACGACAGACGTGTAAATATTAATCAATTTTATCAGGAAATGTAATCATTGATACATATACGAAAAGAAAAAATACTTCATAAAAAACGACAGAAATATAAAAGATAAATTGAAAAGATTACATTCAATAGAAACCGAAAATCTATCGATTGATTACTATTAGAATTTAGATTATATGTTGTCTTCTATAATACTGAACGAGAAAGAAATCGATCTTATTGATTCAAACATTCATCATACCCACGTCGATAAGCACAGAAAAAAAATCTATCCTACATTAAAACCATTACAAAACAAATAGACGATGCCAAACTTGACATGAATATAATACATTCATATGAACAACAACGATTTATATCATTCGTCAGTAAATTTGAATTGAATGAAAATGAGACTTCGTCATAAAACTTTTAAATATCAATTTCTTCGGTGTTCACTTTATTAGTTTAATAAAATTACGTTGTGTACCTTTGACTTTTTTTTTCTATGTTTGGACAGACATCGAGAAGTCTGTCCAATTAGACGGGAGCGTGCTAGCTTTGTAACCGTACGAGATTAAAGAAAAAAAAAAGAAAAGAAAAGAGAAGAGTCTCGCACACTCCTTTCGACCTCTAATCCCTTATGAGTATAGGCGCGTGCGCCACGTAACTGTCCTTTGTGAGTTGTATATGTTGAAACACCTTTTTCCGCTCTCGTACTAACTCGCCGTTTACTCGTCTCTTTTTCTTTCGACCTATTCGTATGCTTCTCTACTTGTTTGTAAGCATGACTTAATCGCTCGTCGTTCATTGCTCGTTTCGTTCATATATTTGACGTTGAATATCGAGTAAGAAACCTTGTCCTCAACCCTCCTACATCACTCGATACACTCATCATTTATTACATATAAAGCATATCATCATAAGTAAAACGAACGGCAAAGAACAAGAAGGAATGAGATGGATGACTGAACGAAAATGAGAAAGAGAGAAAGATAGAAAGTAACGAAAACGAATGAGAAGTAAAATACGCATATAACAGAAGGTTAAAATCGATCGTTGATGTTTAGTAAAGATTACATTTCTCTATTTCTAACATTAATTATATGAATCAAAGAGCTTTTTTTGAACTAAATATGCCTAAACTTCCAACAACAACATCAACAACAACATCTCGTCCTTCTACTACCGCTGTCACAACTGGCCATAGTGAACGTAAGTTTCTTTCCCGTTGACAATTGTCATATATAAATAAAAGAAATAAGATAAAAGAGACTGCAAGGAAAAGAACAAAAAGAAGGAAAAAAAAAGAAAAAAAAGGAGATCATAAAATGCAACAGATCTGTGCACCATGCTTTTAGCATGTTAGGTCGCGGCAGCATATTCTTTTTCTCTTTTACACAAACATACACATACACATACACATAAACGCACAAATTGAAGTAGTGAATTGCCTACCGTTTCTTCTTCTATTGAATTTTGTAATCTGATTTTGATACAACGTGTAAAATATAGTATGCATACAACTACAAGATTGCACCGTTCAGGTAGATTCTCAAGGAAATATATGCAAGAAAATGAAAAGGCGAGAAAAAAAAGGAGAATCCATATTGATTGATTTGCTTGATTGATTACTCTTGTATCGAATATTATTTAGAATCATTGGGACCTAATTTACAGTCACGTCTTGAGGCACTTGAAGCTGCCATGGGCGTTCGACTCAATGTAGCTAAACGGCAAGGACGTCATTCATTGTCAAATAGTATGTATAATTAGCGTTCGAAGAAAAAATGTTTTTAATAATATCAATTAATATATATATATACATATATATATATATATATATATATTAATAGCTGCAAGTTCGTCACCTATGCAAGTATCGCCAACATCAACATCATCAGCAATATCAAGTACAACAGCTACAACATCACTTTCAACATCATCTCGTCATAATATTCCAACACGATCTGGTCAAGGTGTACAACGATCTGCATCATCATGTGATGTTGAAAATCGTCCAGGTCCAATAAAACGTCTTAAACCTTCATTACCAATAGAAACATCATCGTCATCAACTGCTACTGCTATTGCTACAATAAAAAAATATACACCATCTGTTCGTCGACCTATAACAGCTATTACAACTCCAACACGTCCAGTACAACCTAAACAATCAACTTTAACTAAACAACGAACATCACCAATGGATACTTTATCAATACGTTCAACACGTTCATCAACAACAAATACTAATAATTCAAATTCTCGTACATTAACTGGAGTTTCAACTAAAACTTCTCACACATCATCAACAAAACAAACAGTGGCTAATCCATCATCATCATCATCACCTCCACCGCCGCCACCACCACCACCAACACCACCACCACCACCAGTACCATCACGTCCAACAGCATTACCACAAAAACAACGTTTATCTATATTTGGTGAACAATTTTCTGATGATATACTTAAAACAAATTTATTGTGGATTAATTTAAATGAACTTGATGATGAAAGTTGTACAGAAGTACTGATACAATTTGGTTCAATAGAAAATTTTCTTCAAGAACAACAATTATTTTCTGCTAAACAACAACAACAATCAAAATTAGCAGCTAAAAATAAAACAGCTATAAATCGATCACGATTTCAATTATTAATACCTAAAAAAGACCGTTTAGAACTTCTGTGAAAAGAAAAAAAGTTAAAATTCATTCTATCATAAGTGAGCAATAATACTTTTTCTTTTTTGCTCCGGTGGTTGTATGCATCTTGTTATGGTCAAATGTCTAAATGTGTTTCTTTTTTTGTTAACTGTTATTTGTGCCTCTTCTAATCTTACTGAATTCAGATTAATTATCTCAATAATCTAAAATGAGTTTGTTTTCTTTTTTGTTTTTCTATTGTAAATAAACTATCGTCATATAATAAAAACCAAATGTTTATAGATATTCACAAGTTGAGTACCTATTTTAAATGTATAATAAATAAAAAAAAAAAGAACAAAACTTCGCGCCAAACAATTTTTGAACATAGAAAAAAAAAACATGGAAAAAATTCTTATAATAAATCTATTAGGTAAACGTTTTCACATACCATATAGAATAGTAGCTAATTATCCACAAACATTACTTGGTAATGATTTATTACTTTCGAAATATTATCGTCATGATATAAAAGATTATTATTTTGAACGAAATCCATTATTATTTTCCTATATATTAACATATTATACATTAGAAAAAAAAATTTTTTGTCCACATAGTATTCCTCTTGAATTAATAGAAAATGAATGTCAATTTTTTAAATTAAATAATTCAAATATATATCATGAAATAAATAAAAATTTAACATATCAATATTTTCAAAGAAAAAAAACTTTTAAAAATAAAAATAAAAATAATTTTATTTTCATAATACCATTTATTATAAGTATTTTATTTATGATAACAATAAGTATGGAAATATCTAATAATTATTTTTTAAATTTATCATGGTCATTAACATATTTTATTGAATTATTTAATATAATTTTATTAACAATTATTATATTTTATCAAATCATTTATAAAAAAGATTCCTTTCAAAATAAATGTTTTTTATTAGATTTATTTTCTACTATATTAAGTATATTTATAATTATTAGTCAAAATTTAATGATAATAACAAATAATTATTTTATAAATAGTTTAATTATGTTATTAAAAACATTTCGTTTATGTATTATTATTGCACATTTACGTATATTAAGATTAATTATTCAAACATTTATTCAACGGTATAAGTAGAATCATTTCTTTTATTTTTGTTTAAATGAAATAAAAAATTTATTGATTCTTTTTATTTTTTATTTAGATTAAAAATTATTTTTATATTAGTTTTTATAAATATTATTATAATAGGATCATTTAGTGAAATAGCATTTGCATTTGAACGACGACAACAAGAAGATCAAAATAATAAATTAACAATGAAAACTCATTTCGATGCATTTTGGTGGGCAACTTCACTTAGGTTTAATTAATTGATTTATAAAAAAAAAATATTTTAAATAATAAATAAAATATTCTAGTTTTACAATTGGATTTGGACATACTGATCCACATTTTACATTAACAATTATTGGAAGATTTTGTAGTTATATGTTGACATTTTTTGGCCTACTTTTTAATGGACTCATATTACAAGAATTAATTAAAGGATTTTTAAAAATATATCGAGAAGAAAGAAGAGAATAAGTAATCTTATTCATTCTTTTGTGAACATAATCATACAAAAAGAATCAAATTATGTATCAAGCAACATTATCAACTGTTTTTGTCAACAGATATCAAAATAATTTATTGTAAATCACTCATCTTTATATATAAATAAGCTGATTAGAAATCGAATTTCAACTAGTGATTATGACTACTATCGAATGATGTTCGCTTTTCGTCAGTATGTATATAAATTTATTTATTCTTAAGATCATCTTATATGAATACAAGGAAAAAGACAAAAAATAGAGAAGCATACATTTACTATTGCTTAAAATACCCTTTTTTTCAGACGATGATGACGTTCATTAAAGAAAAAGACTCATCCCTATTCTCATCATTTGTCTTGATCAATGAGCTTACCGCCTTGGCCAAATGACACGATAGTCATGCGTTTCTTTCTATCAGGCGGGGTCAATAGTCGAACAGAATAAAAAAAAAGAATTCATTTCCTTGCAATAGTAGATTTTTCTTTTTATTTCCTTCTGACCACTAGAATTATCTATTTGTATTGATGATGTCGGAAATCCTATCAGTGAAGAGAGAAGAAGAAAAAAAAAAGTGGATGATACGCATCTGTAAAATCAATTGTGTCTCGTGCAGACACTAACTATGTATTTTTAATATATATTTTTTTCTTGAACAGATGTATGTCGCTTCTGACAAGAGAAGAACTATTATACTCTAACGTCGGCAGTAAAGTTGATGATGGTCATCGCGTTCTCATTATCTATTCAGGGACGATGAACAGGATAGACAGCAATGTTTATGAAAGAGAAAAAGAAATTGAACGTTGATAGCATTTATTCAGCATCATCTCTTTTTCTATTCTCGTCTTGTTGTTTGCTAGTCCAAAAGAATACGACTAGTAGTACAATTAGAACATGATTGTGAAAAAATAAAAATGACAGTATTCTCTTTCTACTATTCTCGTTCTATAAATTGTAGTGAATAGAAAAAAAAAAAAGAAGAGAAAACGAGAACGAAAGAAAGAATAAGAATTTGTCTTGTTACAGATTCTTCTTTCTCTCTTCGTATTGTATTGCCCATTCTCTTATTAACATAGACTTCTAGTTTCTTTTTATGTCATAGTTAGTCCAATTTTTCATGCCATCAATCTGTTACCATTATGTCACAGAGAGAGAAAAAAAAACTTTCTTATCTTAAATTTGACAAATCTTGCTTTTTTAATGTAGAATAAAAAGAAGAAAAGAATTTTTTAGCTTTCTTTTAGTTGATAGCCATTTGACATTGTTCCATTTTGATTATTAAAATAGAATTATATTTCATATTGTATTCTTTGACCTTTCATTTGTCTTTTATATTTCTTTTAGATCTCGAACTATCGTCTGTACGCCTACTCTTTCAACCTTCTAACTATTGATTATTCATAATGCCAGGTTTGGCACGTCGATTACTAGGCAAAAGTAAGTGAACTTCTACTGAATTAGTTCATTGATGACAATGAAAAAAAAAAGCTATTAGTACAAATAGCATGAAGAAATTAGTTAGACTTCAGTTGCTCGTCACTTATTCTTCATATACAAATGACACCTGTTTTTTCTTTGCATGCTCTAATTTAACGAAGAAAGAATCGAATGAGTAGAGTTAATCATCTTGCTGGTTCGCATATATCAATCCATGCACATATGGATATATATCATACATATCGTTTTAATCTTCATCTAAGAATAACACAAAATATGAACACGCAATGGTACACATATATATATACATGTATGACAGGAAAGATCATTATTTTTAAATAGAATTTTCCAAAATATATTTTGTGAAATATTTAAATTTAAATTATAAATAGATATTAAAAGTTCATTATATATCTATCTTCGAGATATAAAACAAAATAAAAGAAAATGAATAATAATTATTTTTATGAAAACTATATTTCCTAAATGAAATTATAAAAACAAAATTATTAAGAATTTTTTTTCTTTTTAATTTTATTTTGAATAAATGAGCATTTGTAAATAGATGCGTCTATAAATATATATATACGCACACGTAATACAACAATATAGAATCATCGAGGCACATACACACACTTATGTGTACTTGCATTCTTCATCGATGTTACATCGAAACGATAGAAATTAGACCTTCGTTTGACATACATATACACTTTCTCTTACTACTCCATCCAAGCGAATGACTGACGTAACTATCCTACTCGTTGTCGTCCGCCTATTACTACGTTTATATTGCCCGCTTTAAACGACAATTGCTGATGATGATAGTAGTTGTACTAGTAATATTAGAGGTACATATATTATATATGTATTTGCCAATAGCAAGTACTTCATCAAGTAGAATAAGATGATGGATGTATTCGCATGCGCTATGTTTATCATGCAAATGCTATTGAGTAAAAGTATACTAACAAATCATACGTGTGCCTTATACAGGAGTTTGTGTATATATATATCTCTGATAGTTAATTGAATCACGTATTGAATCGTTTTCGAGGTTAGAAAATAATCAGACATAGTGGTATTAAATTCAGTAGCGATCAAAGATTGTCAAGAATATTATGCACCTAAACATGATTTTTTTTCATCTGATACCTTCTTAACAATTAGTCATGTGCGACGTGACCTTGGCTTTGTTCAATTAGGTTTTACCTTTTTACTTTCTTTTCTATTTAATAATAGTCGGATGTTCTGTGAAGTTTTTGTCAATTAGTAAAGAAGTGAATTCATGCTTAGTATTCATATAGATTTATTCTTTCTCTAAGTTACTTATTATAAAAAATTGAAAATCTCATATTCTTTTTTCTTCTTTTGTTCTTAATGAAAATGAATGAATCCGAAAGAGAAAGAGAACAAGTTAAAATATACATTTCTTTCTCTCTTGTTCTGTTACTGCTGTTGCTACATCTCTCTCTGTCTCTCTCTCTATTAATCATCATTGTTCGATTGACCTCGATTTAATTCGTATTTAAAATTCAATGAAAAATCGTCAGCCGTCTTGATTGAAAAATAATTTCATAGCGAAATCGTTTTATTATCGAAATGTTTCATATGAGACAAATATGGATATCAAAAACACAATTTTTATCTCATTTAATAGGTATGAATAAACGAAAAAAAAAGCAAAGCTGAAATCAATTAGACAAAAAAAGAACAGAAACTTTTTCCAAAATTTGTACTGTCATGATATCCTAGAACAAATGTCTATCAGCTAGTGATAGATTCTCTCTTGAGTATAATTGTATGTTGATAATGACGTAAAGAAGAAAAAAGAAGCACTCGTTCTAACGAGACTCTTAGTATGTAATAGACAAGAAAAAGTGTTGTATGTCTATGTCTTGCTGATTACATAGAAACTTGATTATCGGCTCATCTATTCTATCCAATTGTGTATATGACGATTATTTTTTTTTCAGGGGTAGTCATATGATTTTTCTTTTTTTCTC